TGAACAAGTATATTTTAACAAAACGCATTTGACTAACAGGTCGAACAACACATGTTCTTAAACCCTGCTGACTGCCATTGGCGATTGCCAAATAAACGGATCACAGATGTAATAAATGGATCTTAATTATTAATTTAATACTAAACAGAAAACAATAAACTTGCGGAAAAGATGATATACCGCAAACAAATGGTGAAAAGGTTTTTATACACCATATCTGGATTTCGACAATTAATGTCTCTTCAGTGATGTTAGGAATCGAAACGGTATTTGGAAAGCCATTCAATTTACCTCAATTTAGGATAGATTCTTGAATTTTGAGGAGTCAAAATAGGATGAACGGATCATATAAACCCGAAGGCAAATATAATACAAGCCCAAACAAACAATATAAACAAGTCTAAATTGTAAACAGTGTTCAAACCTATGATTGCGTTGGATATAAACCGCAATTTTTATACGTGTGCATGCAAAACAAGTTTCTTGTTAGAGGGGTCTAAATAAAGCACAAACCACATTTTTTCCAAAAGACCCAAAAAGTGAATTTTTATATATAGATCATATATTTGTAACAACCTTTGTTGCCGATGGGTTATGTTATTTCCAAAGAAAGATTTCATACAAAAATCATTGAGAGAGATCATATTAGTAAAAGACAATTGTGTTGAATTTAAAGCTTGGCCTACCTGAACCTACTGTTGCAAATTCAGTTTACGGAGATAAAACAAAAAGGGATATCTGCATCAGTAAAATCATGTTTCACGTAAGTATTTCTATACGATTATCCATATTCTAATGTCAAGTAATCAAGGCATTCCATTTAAGTAATTATTTCGGTGTAAAAGATTCATTAAACGACAATTCCATTAAATGATGATGTCTTTTTGAAAACCGAACAAGGTGACATCATCTGTATGCCTTCAATGTCAACGCCTTACTCTAAGTCTGTACTAATTTTCGTAGATTGAGGATTATGCTTTCATGGATATTTGATTTCGTGGTATGCCAAAGTCTGCATTCAAATCTATAGGAAATGTATACTTCCTTTACACACGCAATTCACCAAATTTGGTATCCCACGACCTGGGGATAGAAATGTGACTTACCATAGAGTTTGGTCACTGGTGCATTGTTGATGTTGTATTAAGACTTATCATTAAGTTTGGGCACTAGTTCATAAATGAAGGTAGTGGTTCATTAACGAAGGTAGATTGGCATTTTGTGATTCATTTCAAGCACTGATCTGTTACTACATGTTGTATTGTGACTTCTTTATGGATTGCGTCTTTAACTTGTGTAGACTTTAGCGGAACAGTTTACTGGATTACTACTTAGCTTTGTATGACTAACAAAAGCGGTCAAGGTTGTCTTGTGTCGTTTGGTAGGTTCCTTATTGTCGTATACACAAACCAAATACTTCATTTCTCAGTGGTTTCGTTCTATTTAAATTTAAATTTCTTAAAAGTTAAGTAACGTCCAACCTAGGTAATATTTTCAAATTCCTATATTTTATTTTTATAACTGAGACACTCAAGGCTTTACCTTACTTAGTTTATACCATCAGGGATTTCGTTACCACAAATTAATTACAAATTTTACAAAATATTTAAATAGATACAAAAATTTGGTAATGAAGTTTCATGAATATTTCTTATTATGAAAGGGTTGTCATATCCCAAATTTTACGGTGATATTGTTTAAAAAGGTTAGTGGAGGGTTATAATCTCACGAATATGTTTAATCCCGCAAAATTTTGTAATGGTTGTCGCAAGCTAGGAGCCTGTATTTCAGTGGTTGTCGTTGGTTTATGTCTGTCAAACTTCTTTTTATCTTCCTGGTTTGAACTCAGGTGGATAGTTGTTTCATTGGAAATCATCTCCCTATTCCTTTATAATATTTCGGTAGTCTGCTTATTCCATGATGTTTATTCATTTCTCACTAATTTTGCTTCAAATTAACAGATTCATTCGACTTATTTTTGGAAAAAAAACTAAACATAATTCACGATACATTGTGTACAAAGCAGAAGAAAAATTACGATAATAATAGTAATGGATTTTTCGCAGTATGTCTGAAAACTTAACTGAAAATGACTTGATAATTTATTGTTCAGTCTTTTCAGCTGTTCACATCAAAATGACCGTTTCACGAGGGCTTTTATTTAACATGTTTTAATAATACAGGTAAAATATTTGTTTTACTATTTCACATAAATCATTAGCAACACAAAGAAAGGTCATCATCTGATTTTTTATACAAAGAGGTTGTTAATTTGTAGCTTATTTTAGACGCCATATATCCACTGTTGACATTACAGGTGTTATATGCTTCCATCCAAGTGAACAGTCCACGTGGGGACAGCAAAACTAAAAGGGGTAACATCGAATGAGAAACTTCAATTGATGCATACACAACTCATAACATTTACCAAAAAAGGAATATGTAATTAAATGATTGAATAATTAAGCCAGTTTTGGACAGAACTATGTTGCACTGAGTTCACATGAACTAGACCAGGAAAAGCGTCTCATTTTCTAATGGTAATATATAAGTCGTGGAATTACGTAACCTTGTATAGTTTACCATGACAATTTTGTTCGAATTATTCATGCCTTACGAAAAATTCAACAAAGAAGATTTAGTACTTTGTTATATCAAACGTGGCGTATTCAGATTATACATACCCTTTTCGATTGGGGATCCATGTTAAGTGTCAGTTATTACGCATATTCTATACCATGATATAAAGCTGTAGTATTAGTGTACTGTATTTTGTTAAATTAACCAACGCGTGTTCCAGATCAAAAGTTACCAATAGTAACAGTCAGAGGGAAATTAGTTTACACCACCTTGTGGTATTACTGTAATTTGTGAAAAAGCAGCATATCCGAACTATTTGCTCCGATTGACCTTGAATTAAATTACAATCTCCCGTGCTTGCATTAGCAAAATCATCAGTATTGTCAATATTGTAATCTACGCCATCCTGGTAAATGAACTATAGTTATAAATTATCAAAGAAATCGTTTTGTCTCATAAACTATAAGCGAAGCAAATAACAACATCCTACTAGTTTCGTACAAGCGATATCATTCAATAAATTAGCAATTTATATGTAAACTTATTACTTACTATCGATAGAAAAAGGAAAACAAATTCTCCTGTACTTAATGAGCGTGATGTCAGTTTTGCTAGTTGCTTTTTCGAATAGTTACTTGTTCAATGATATAATGTATATACTTCTGGAGTTTAAGGGTTCTGTACCCCTAGGCACAGATGGCTTTAGCAGTATTTGCACAATTTTTCGAACAGTTTGGATCTCTTTGATATCTTATTTAATTATGTCTTCAAACTGATTTGATTTAAGTGCCACTGATGAGTATAATATAGACAAAACGTGCGCTTAGCGTAGCAAGTTATAAGCCTGATATCTATTATTTAGTGTTTACTGGATTGATTCCACAGCCGGTTGGTCGTTCAGTGCCTGAGTGTATTACCAGCCAAATAGTCAGCATTTATGTGTTTACATGAATTATCAATGATAAGGAATATTTCTGCAAATTGTTTGTTTACATCATTTTGAATAAGAATTCCAAACACTAAGTTATCATTACCATCAGACACATATGGCCTAAGCCGTGTGTGGAATAGTAATAATGTACAAATTCTGAAAATGTTCTGATTACATAATTTTGAATTAAAATTCCAAACACTTAGTTATCATTGTCCTCAGATACACATGGCCCTAGCCGTACGTGGAACAACTTTTTGAATTCTTTCCGCCAAAATGTAATATCAAAATCTATAGAATATAAGAAATTAACGTATATACATTAATGTATATATATGTATATATATGTATATACACTACTATCTAGTGTGTGATATGGATGTAAGGCGCAATTACTAGATAAGTAAGCCGCCTACCAAAAGCAATAACAACAACAACGAGTTCTTTTATTTTCATTTTTCTCACATGTCGTGTTTGATTATGACTTCAAGTGGATTCGTTTTTGGGGACCAATTTAGCATCTATATTAGCCAATTGTGCTTGGTGTAAAACATGCTGTTAACAAGGACAATAAGAAGAAAACATTATCCTTTAACTTCAATTTCCGCTGTATCGATGATGTCCTTTAACATAAAAATTCAAACCGTAGAGTTGACCGCATTTCTTACATTTCTCTGAACATCAAGGATACTATTGGTCTTTTATCAAAATCTGGCTGTACATTAAGAAACTAACAGTGTGTGACGGTTTGAAACTACAATTTACTCACAAATGGAGACTTGATATTTTCTATTATAACATTAATTTAGACTTTTATGCAGCAACCTTCCAACGATATCTGAATATTGAATATATATCTCTGAGTTATTCGAAATAACGTTGCATACACTATTCTTAGGTTTTTGTAGACGTCATTTTGATTTTAGTGACCATTATGAAATAAAAAGTAGCATGGTCACGGATTCACTGCGGTCATCCGAAAATCATTTAAAGATGCTGCGCGTCTTTTTGCCATTGGTATTCCGGGGATTATTTTGTTCGATAATCATACTAAAAATACTAATTTTGGACAATTAAATTTTGCTGTATGAATAGGTACCACCGTGAGTGACGCTCACATAATTTCTGGTTTTCTTGTAGAACACACAAGAGGCTTATATCATTGTCTCGGTATTGGCGCAGTCCAGTAAGTATGAACGATTAGATGCAGACAGAGATAAAAAAAAATTAAAAAAATCAGGGACTAGCATGCAACATAAGGTATAATGGTGAAAAAGCTATATACGCCACAAATTGTGTCTCAAAAATGCTATTTCGTTTGTATTTGATGTTTTCACTTGTGAGAAACGATAAAAAACCCGTATTTTCCTAAGCAGATATTGTTTAACAAGATTATTGTGCAATAACCTGAGATGATGTTGAAAACAGTCTACGTTTTTGTGGATATGATTAAAAAGTTAATTAGGTAAATAATATTTACAAACTAGTATTCAATACTAAAACAGGTCAGTTTATTGCATACAATATGTTTCGTAAGTACTTTCTACAAACTGGAGTAACTATAATGTTAATAACATGTGCGTTCTTTTGTTGTTTAAAAATTAAAAAAAAACCTTTAACTCCTCACAAGTTGTTTTAAACACCAATCTGGATTTATATGATTCATCTACAAATAACTTATGTGTAGATATTTGCTCCACCAATGTAAAAAAATTTAAAAAAATTACCATTTAATTTCTTAATCTGAATTGCTTTGAAATAGTTATGAAGACGATGAAGTGTATAAGATGACCGTAAGGTTGATACCTGGTTAAAATAATGTGTGAATTTAACCTGGATAAGATATAATTCTACCACATCAGTCACTTCTTGAAATCAGGGTTACAAATAAATCAATGTCATCAAATATTTTATTGTGTCCATATTCAGCAGTACTGAATTACCAATAACCCTTCTCAAGATAATAAATTGTTGCCGCTAGACTGCTTTATCGTATACATCATTTTCATTTCTAGTTTCTGATTTGAGGGTTGACGAATAACCGTAGTCACTACCGTCTGTTGATAATGTGTCTGTATGATCATAAACATCGTTATCAAGTTGCAGTCTTCTTCCTCCATGGTTGGAACTGTCGTATGTTTGGTCATATTCGTTACGAATTCCTACATGGCTGTCATATAAATTTGTCTTTGAATCAGTTCGCCTTTTTGATACACCATTTAATCGATCATATTCTCCGTATGATGTTTCAGTATAAGTGTCCTCAGTTGTTTGGAGTCCGTTCTTTTTAATTTTGTTTACGACTGCATACGTGTTGCTTGAATTGATTGAAGCTAAGCCATATGATTCGTTAGAAATCGGCGTCTCACTTGTTCTAACTTCTGGATTTTGTGAATGCTCGTAGAACTCGGTGGAGAATTGGACTTCTTGCTTATCCGTATTAGCCGATTTAAAAAATCCCCATGATCTAAAAATAACATGAAATGTTAGATCTAATTGAGACAGGTAGAAGATATCAAAGCGATAGTCATAGGTTTAAGTCAAACACAAACAAACAATATTGTAAATGAATAGAGAAAAGACCAAAAAGAGAAGAATGTCGGCAAGTTTATAAAATATTAAATTGAAAACTATGGAGTCAGCAACAAAACGCCACTTACAGATGTCGGTGCACTCCTGTGTCATATGAAAGTAAGAAGTTTACGTTGAGTGAAGAATATTATTGTATAGTTTTATCACAAAACCGTATGATCATATTAGGCAGCTTTAGTTCAAATAATCAAAATATAATAAGAAATATAAACAGATTGGCATAGTTTTTATTAAAATCAGTTCCCACTCAATGCTCATGGGAAACAAGTAGTCTAAGTTACAAGGTCTTTAAAGCAAGTTGATTTTCGTTTCCCTGTGTCAAGTGCAACAACTATGAATTGTTTGTCTTTTATAATCGTTTATTGTTATAGTCATATTGCTGTCTTCCCGGTCATTACCCCAGATCTCAATTAATCTAAATGCAACTGGACGAGGTGCAGGTATTAACCGTAGCACACACGTTCACAATTATAGCTAAAATACTTCAAAACCAAAAATGAAGTCAAATGGATAAGTTGAATCAAATACATTAAATGAACAGTTAGAAAATCGATAAGTAAACATGTGTAATAATGACTTTAGCACACACATGAAGTGATAATTATTTCTTTTGTAAGTTATCAAATGTGTGAGCTCAATTAACATGAAATATATTTTTAATGTGCAAATACACATTGTACAACCCTATAATTTTGTTTGTTTCAATGTCCATTTTTATAACAATAACAAGTTGTGCCCCGACAGTGAATATAGACAATGTATTTAGGTCGTGCAAATCAAAGCGCCCGCAAATCATTAACATGCTAGGTTATAAACTAACAGTTCGCTTAAAAAGCACAGTCTATGGGATAAATGAAATGTTTGATAATTTAAATAGGAAAGTATAAAAATGAACTGTTACACAATTCATTTTGTATCTAATTGTTTAAGTATGAACGAATGTAAATGTTAAAATTAATGCATACTGGTTTCAAGGCAGGCACTTCAGTTTACAGCGGTTTTAAAAAATGATTCAGATCCGTGGTCAATAGTGCATCATTGTATGATTTATAAAAAAAAAGATGTGGTATGAGTTAGTCTTAAAGTAATGATTAATTTAAGGTCAACAACGAATAAGTTTTGAAATAGCAAATTCAGATTTTTGTTTATAACAATAAATGTTAAGGAAAATTAAAATATTGTACTCAAAATGTAGTACGTATATATAATGTTACCTTATTTTGCAGAAAATTACAACCGAAACAGCTAAAAATGCGATTGCACCTGCAATACCACCAATTATTGGACCTAACAAGAAAAGACAACAATAACACATTGGTGGACAATACATATCACTTATATCGGATCCAAATGTAATAATAAATAAAATAACATTTGTTGATTAAACCAGATTTTCAGGTCTTATATCTGAGACATTGGTACATTTTTGTATTTCTGAAATGATAAGATAAGCTGCACAAAAAAGTGCTCAAAGGTGTTTATTTATTGAGTTGCAAAGCATACTTAATCATAAATAATATTTTAATCAGCAGGTAATCCATCACACGTTTTATTTTGTACACTTCAATTATATTAAAGGCAATAACTATCTGAAAAAGTGAGATAAGTAATTAAAAGAAATGAAGGTACCTATGTCAAAGATGACGCTAGAATCTTGTTCCATTGCATTTGTTGCAGTTACGCTTCGTCTTGAGATTGTAGTAGATGATTCGTCTAAAAAGAAGGTGGACAAATTGTTAAGCAGAGCTATTTTTGTACAAGTTTTATACAACTTCATCATTGACACAACGTTCTTACTTTATTTTATACAATTAGGTGTACAAGTTTTGGAACTGTTTTCTATTGAGGCAAGTCATAAGTGTTCGCGTGAAATCTGTTTCTAATAAAGTTATATAAGTAGAATGTTTCCTCAGTTTTTTTGTTTGTTTTCTGTCCCATATCATTTTAGTTTAAACATGCAAAAAAAAAAAAAAAAATAAAGACATTTTTTATTCTTAGTTAAAACGACTTTGGAATATTAATCGCTCACGTCTGCTTTAAACCAAAGCACCAAACGGTCAATTCCAGCCATTATTACAGGTTTTCATAATACCTGTACAATTTAAATTGAAAAAAGGGACTTATTTTCTTCGTCGGACAGCTGTATTTGTAATATCTCTTGAACATACAAGATACAGGTTAGACTAAAACTTTCTTGATTTACATTCATCAGGAACACTCAAGTTATGTCGTTCCAGGCTGTTCTAGACTTTGGATGATATACAGGTGACATATACAGTTGTATTCATACATTGTTTTTTTTTAATTGCGTATCAATATTTGTCTTACAAAAGAACAACAAAGCTAGTACTTTAATTTATCTTCGTTTTTCATGTATCTCCCTCTTCTTTTGTATAACCTTCTCCCCCAAGGGTGACAGGGGAATAGAAATATGGTCACTTGGTCTTCTTCCGACCGGCAGTAAAACGCTTGCCAGAGTCGGGCGGCCATTTGGTTGTGCGGGATGTACAAGTTTCCAGTCACGTCCGGTCAGAATGGGGACGTTGAATCCGATGACTCGTGTGAAGAGAGCGCCACTCTCTCTCTTTGCACGTTAAGAACGCTTGCAACAACTCTTTGAGGGGTCCGTAGGAGGCCTGTTTCAAAACAAAATTTCAGTCGCTATCCAATATACTAGTGCCCTAATTTTCCAGTGTCAGTCCAAATTTCCCCGACCATCATCCCGGATGACCTCCCAGGCAGAAAACCCTGGCCGTGTTAGGCGCAACTTTTTGGAAGTTTTGGTCCTTGGTGCTCTTCAGCTTTGTACTTGTTTTGGCTTTCAAACTTTTTTCATCTGAGCGTCACTGGTTGGTCTTGTGTGGACGAGACGCACGTCTGGCGTATTGAATTTTAAGCCTATTACCTTTTGTTAGCTATTATTCGTGTGTTTCTTTGTCCTATATGTTCTCCCATTTATTTGTATTGTGGTCCTGTCATGTGATGTTGTCGTTTTGGTGTTGTGTTTGACCAGGTTCAACCCACCATTTTTTTCTTAAAATGTCCTGTACCAAGTCAGGAAAATGGCCATTGTTATATTACAGTTCGTTTCTGTGTGTGTTACATTTTAATGTTGTGTTTTTGTTGTGTTGTTATTCTCCTCTTATATTTGATGCGTTTCCCTCAGTTTTAGTTTGTAACCCGGATTTGTTTTATATCTCTATCGATTTATGAGTTACGAACAGCGGTATACTACTGTTGCCTTTATTTACAAGACCTACCTATTGTATTTATTGTTAACTTGTTCTCGTCCTGAACATGCATGAAATATTTGCCACTGGACGTTTAACAATCAATAATCAATCAATCAAGTATATAATCATCCAGCAGGACGGTGCACATGAACCATTCGTTAAAACATACCACAACTGCATAACCTTCTTAAAAAAAAGATATATAGGAGACAACTTATTTAGCGTTTATACTAAGTATCATTCAAAGGCATCAGCATTATTCATTGCACAGTTGCATATAGCGTTACAAAAAAGTGTGGTGAGGTGGATTCAACCAGTGGTGTAAATCAGGTTTTGACTCTAAAAAGTACTAATGACCTACTCCAAAATCATTACACTAAATCTTCGCTATTTTGCAATATGTTTTTTAACTTTTATTTCATCTCCTTAAACCGTGTTTTCCACAAAAATGAAAATGAGAAACACACATTCCTAGTTTAAAGTCACGAAAACCACAGTGATACCAACAACAAAAACACCAAAGACTATATAAAGTAGACAGACGCTGGACTTTTTGATCGACTAATGTACATATACTAGTAATACAGAACGAATACCTATACTTCTATTATGAAACTATTTTTCATTATCAGATATAAAGACGAATTGCTCGAATTTTATAAACCCTAGAGAACATGGTATTGAAGAAATGCTAGCTTCATATCTGAATCTGTTTTCCTAAAATTGACTATGGTTGGCGAGTTCAGTTACTCCATTGTCAACTTCAATTGTATGGTGTTTAAATATATTAATGAATTCGTTACGAGCATGAATGTGCATTTTATGTCAATTTCATTGAAGTTTATTACGCAAAGACTGCTCTATATATAATAAGATGTGGTATGAGTGCCAATGAGACAACTCTCCATCCGAGTCACAATTTGTAAAGTAAAACCATTATAAGTCAAAGTACGGTCTTCCACACAGAGCCTTGGCTCACACCGAACTATAACCTATAAAGGGCCTAAAAAACCATGTAAAACCATCCAAACGGGAAAACCAACAGTCTAATCTATATAAAAAACGAGAAACGAGAAACACTTATGAACCACATCACCAAACGACAACTATTGAACATCAGGTTCCTGATTTAGGACAGATGCAGTGGGTTTCAACGTTTTAATAGGTACCAACCTTCACCCTTACCCGAAACAATAGTATAACATTACTACATAGAAAGACACACTATAAAATATCAATTGAAATGGCTGACCTCAATCAAAAGACATATAAACATAAGTGAACATACACTGAACGAATGAATTTGATTAATGACACAATGTAAATACAAAATCAATAAGATAAGGGGTGAATAAATAAAGGCAACAGTAAAATACAGCTGTGAAATGTTGAATAATTATAGATCTAACAATACCTTATCTTTTATCTGGTACACATCGTTTACTCAATATACATATAGAAATAAATATTTGATCAAGGAAAAACAATCCCGCTCTTAAGAAAGCAAAAACCAAGTCAAAAATAACACGCGTTACTTAAAGACAATAAACTCATCATATATACCAGGCTTCAAATCTTGTACACCAAACGCGCGTTTCGTGCTTGAAACTTTCTCTGGTGTCTGTAAAGCAGATAAACTTTGCTTTGAGGTTGTAGATAAAGCGGCGCCTGGAATATAGCGGAACACAATTTGTTTCAATTGAAAAATAACAATATTTGCATTTGTATAAGATGTTAATTAGATTGAACTTCTGTACTTTGAAGCCTTATAATAAAGTGCTCGTTGTGGTGCTTGAAACAATGGAAATAATGATTTAACGAGCACATCAATAAGAACGTGTCTCATCTTTGACACAGGCTATCATACATGCAAATAACCCTGTTTACAATATAGACAGAAGAAATGTAGACAATGTTTCACATTATACCTAAATTCAATTGTGCACATTGCCCTATATTTGTTTTTTTTTTTATTATGATCTATATAACAATGCAATGAACTAGTTAAAGACATATACAACGAAGTTCTTGTAATTCTAATGTTGTCGAATATACTCAATATACAAACCAATAGATATATATCAAACCAATAGATATAAGAAGATGTGCCAATTACACAACTCTCCATTCTAGTCACAATTAGTAAAAGAAAACCCATTATAGGTCAATGCATTGATATATTCATGTTATTCTAAACCAAATCATGTAAGCCCATTTATTGTATATCTATTACGAATATAGAACGTATCATCGACCCAAAAATTTACAATAAGTTATTGGTTAATGCCAAGTAATACAATTTTGAGTTTGTTGTCGAATTAACCGGAGAGTGAGATTGTTAAACAACCAACAAAAAGCAAGTGGAGCACCGGACAAATAAGTAAATCAACAGAGCCATTACAAACTTTTTTTGTATTTTCCATGCGTGTCCATTTGTTAACTACACTTTTCCGTAACAGTTGTTCAATGAGTTGGTGTTCTAATTTAGATTTTTAAGAATCAGATATAACTATTTACTGGATAATGCAATTGTTAAACAATCAACACAGAGCACTTGGAGCACAGGATAAATAAGTGAAATAACACAGCCATGATATCCTGTTTTATATCTTCCATGTGTGCCCATTTGTTAATTACACTTTTCCTTACAGCTTTTGAAATGAGTTGGTGTTCTAATTTAGTTTTTTAAGAATCAGCTATAACTACTAACCTAGCAGTGCACGATTGTTTATATTCTTTCATCACGGTTGTCCTTTAGCACTTGCGCTATGCAGTGGCCGAAGTTCTAACTGGAGGTTTCAGGAAAGATAATTATTCAAAAGAAGTATATTGATGCAGATTTTGATAATATAAAGGATTGACTTTTACAATAAAGTTTACGTAAACTTGATTTATAGTAAAACTTAGCATTTCAAGCATATAGATATTCAATTATTTTTTTATATTCGAAGTTTTATAGGACTTTAAAGGATGAATTATATACCTGCTCTGCACACAAAAAAATCTAACTGGTCATTGCAAACTCTTCTGCTTATGTTAAGTTCTCTTTTGTCATTTTTTTCTGTGAATGAGCCGGCTAAACAGAAAAGCGGATCTTTGGTACCTGCTTCAGCTGGAAATGTAATGGTTGCAAAGATATTTGTTTTCTTTTTGTTAATGAAACACGCGTCATTTTCTGCATTAATCTGTAAATCTCTAAGAATGCACCTCCAGTCTCTTAACATTTTTTAACGACTATTCTCCTGATGTTTTGCAATAAACTTGATAATTAGAAATGACATATATCTGAATCTTAAATTATGTGTCCAAATGAGAAAATAATGATACCAAAAGTGATTTTAACACATAACTTGAAAATGACTAGCATTGCCATGACAAAATAGACGACTAAAATACGAACAATCCCACATATCACCAAATAAGAAATAAAAAAAGTAGCAACACTTTGGTTAATCAATGATGCTTCGGATTGGAAACTAGATCGATGTATTTTGAAAGGTAGACGTGTCGATGAACACAATGCATGTTACTATCATCTTTAGTTTGCTGAACTTAAGTAAATGCAATTGCTTGTCAAAATTAGTTTATATCAGTCATCCAACTTTTTAAAACCATGATGCTACTGGCAAAATGTAGAGAGATAAAGTTAATAAATTATCCACGCTTTACTTTCAAAACATATATTGGGTTATTCATGTTTATCAGCGAACCTTCTTAGATTATGTTTCTTTTTATTGTACGACCATTAATTAATTACATGAATCTTACATTTTTCTAAACAAAGATAACACTAGAGTGGGGTGCTCATTTTTGCCATAATTTTCCATGTTTTCTGCAGTTTATGTTCAGGTCTTTATGTTTTTGAAGTAAACTGATATTTCTATTTGAAAATAACATCAAAAGCAAAATATTCTTAGTTTGAAAACGTGTTTCTTTGAAAAAATTCATCTGAAAAGTTAGATTGAAGGCTATTTGAAATTTCCTGATGTTTTGTCAAAGGGGGACACATATTCGCCGTTTTTACACATCTTTTTAAAACCAAATAATTGCAGCTTTAAACAATATTTATCAAATCAATTTCATTATAGATGAATAGCAGACATTTCAAAGGTGTAAAGAACTGAAATTTAAGGCAATCAGTCAAAGAATTACTAAGACATACTTCTTTGAAATCGTGTTTTTTATTCAGGAAATTGGACAAAAATAGTTGTCCGTTTTTCGGTCCTTTGCGGTAAGTGCCGAAATTTTGTCTAAGTTTAAAAAGTAATCATATTTGTTATAAAAATATAATTTACCGGCATATTTCTTCTATTTCAGTCATCCTTTTGATGTTTGTACGAAATTGTGTCCCCGGCGAACATGTGCGCCCCACTATACCGAAAAAATATGATTGTAAACTGTCAGATTATTCATTTATTTACCTTGTGTCAGCTTAGCTTCGGTTTCCGCCCGAAAAACATTTGTCCAGGCATAATGCGCTTCGTTTTCATGGCCCTTTAATCGGCAATAAGTTTCAGGTGGAATCAAAAGCTGATAACTACCCAGGCATATTTGTTTGCTTGTTGAATACGATTTACCCCAACCAACTATGGACCCATTATCTTTGAAGAGATAAAAAACAACAAACAGAGCATGTTGACAATACAATAAAAAGAAAAAAAGGCAAACTGTCATGCTATGAAAATATTAACATTGCATGTTTCTAGAAGGAAATTGAGAGTCAGTGTCTTTTTTTAAATTAAATGATAGAAAATATTTAGAAAAAACATTTTGAATAGCCATCTCAGGACATGTCATAACAATGTTCTCAGTTATGTAAACACCTTTCAATAATGTCAGTGTAAATTATTAGTAAATACAACTTAATCTTTGAATCACTACCTTTCATGTTGTTTAAGTTTCAGTGTTTCTGATGAATGTGTATCCGGAAAAGTGCTTCGTACGCACAAAATGTTTAAGCGTTTACCTAATTTACACGCACAGGGTCGATGTCGCTAATTGTGGACTGCAAGTTCCCAAAGTCATTTGTAGTAACCAGTTCCTCCCTTATCCATTTATTAACAACATATACTTGTTAAAATACCCCGTTCATTTTTAAAGAAATTCTTAAAAATTTGGTTACAACTCCCTCAGGCAAAATTGATCTAGATTAACTTTTTGGTCATATAGTTCCTAACGTTATAGCGTAATAAAGCATTCCTGGCTTTCAAATGTTAAGGTTTGAGCAATCACAATGAAAGTTATTCCAGGAAAGCGCTTCGGACGCACACAGTTTATAAAGTGTTTATCTAATATATATGCACAATTTGTAAACAGATTTTGTTTTACACATGAAGTAAACTTAAGATTTTTTTGTCTACGAAGCATGCTGCTAGTGTCTTTAAAAGCTTACATGGCCGAAAGGGCCAATGTGAGCTTTTGCTATTCCTTGATCTAGAAATAATTTATATATTGAAATTATTAATTGACTATTTCTATCAGTTATCACTCTTAAATGACGATTTTAGTTATTTGTTTCCTCGTTTTTGCCTAAAATTTGCGTTGTAACAAGAATGCCTTTTCACACTGACAGGACCACATTAAAATAACTGAAAGTTCATTACAGATTTCTAATAATTTGATCTCTTTATACAGCTTTATAAAGTTATAACAATAGGTTTTATTTTAATATACATCGTGTTGATCGACAAAATCAATTAAAGCACATAATGAATGATATTTACTGCATGTACTGGCCGTTTCATCATTTTGATCATCACAGTTTACTGCTGTCAGTCCATTTGTTCCATCAAAACAGTAAACAGTTGTACATTTACCATTGTCATAACCAGAAACAATCCCACTGAAAACTTAATGTGATTAAATATTACTAAATTATTTAAGATATAAATGTTAAAGCATTGATGGAAATAAATCTAAATAATTATACATTGTAAAATAACACCTGAAGAAATGTATCAATCGCTTAAAGCTACGAGATTTTGTGTCTGCTGGATGGTTCTGCCATTAGTTTATATCGGCTGTGTAGCCAGATTAAAACAAAATTGTAAAACAAACCAGTAGAACGATTGATGAAAGATAACGGGAGAACATGGTTGTATGTATCTTCATTTATAGAATTGCAAAGAAATGTTAAACTATATATTGCGTTATTTGTGATATTAAGACGAGTGACATTTCACTTTATTTGTGAAAAGTATTTGCAAAATAAAGATGATATGATATTTTCTATATATACATGTAGTTCTATATGTAACCCGATAATATTTTAAAATATATTTCTTTGAAATAAGCGAAGTGATCATATTTAAGTGCCAATTATTATAAGAATCAGATAATTAAAAAGAATTAAAAACATGGCCAAAAAAAAAACCGCCGACATAACATATTTTGAAGCTATCACACTCTTGAATAAAAAAAGGTAGATCGTTCGGTTTTAAGTGTGTGATATTTTGAGAAACATGGATATAAATTCTGGTTAGAATGATAGTGAATTATGTGGTTAGCTCCCCTTCATTGATAATTTCGAGTTTATTACCGCAGCCTGATTCCTAGGCAGATTTGCAATTTAAAAGTTTTTAATTTACAATGAATTGTACCTACCTTTATAGACGAAGAAATGAGTTGAATTTTTTTGTTCTATACAATTCTTTATACTGTACGAGCTACCGTTATCATGTAGACAGGAACACATTTTTGTTGTTTCCTATAAGGGAAATACAATTTTGTATTAAAGAATCATCCATAGCCCAGAAATTTCATTCGAGTCTAATATTTGAATTTGAAAGTCATTACAATGCATACATATAAGATAACTAGTCAATCGAGAGCTGTTTAGTCTGAACTATATGCTACTAGTGAAAACAAGTTGGATGCATCTTTAAATTGAACTGAGAAAATATCATTGTCAGACATAAGACATAATCCTATCTTTAGACAGACACATACTGTATTTTGAAGGATTACATGTATTTATTAGCATGCATTTTCTACATTAATGTTTTGTGGAAGTAAATCCAAACAAGTTAACATACAATAAAAGCTATTAAACTAAAAAGAAAAATGATCTCGCTTCCTTCATGCATAAAGCAGTATACATAGTTGTCCAGCATTAACCATGTGTACAAGAAATCATGCATGCAGATATCATTTCAACATATATTGTTCTTGGATCGATTGAATTAAAACATACTATTCCTTTACTTCATTTATATTTTCATTTGTTCACCCATCATAGGAATATGTTTTGACTTATAACGTTGATGTATCGTCTTGTATTTTCATTATATAATTTAGTTATTTAAGTGGCCTTCTTTTCATTAAAGATTGAACAAAACATTTGAGTGACTGATCTAGTATATACCTATATTACATCATACGTATAGAAAATAAATACAATTTAAAAGCATAAAAATAAGTTGCCGGGAACTATTGACGCTTAATGTTTGTTTTTGTGTAGTGTTCAATTTAAAGGAATTGAGGTATCATTACGGTTTATTGTCGTTTTGTTTTTACAATAGCATTTGTCTAATGTAATCATCTGCAAATTAGACAGTCGCAAAGCAAAACAAAACAAACCACAAAAGAACATCTACATGTCAACTGAATATGAGTAAGGGTTCAACCAGTCTCTTCAAATCTCAACCATCCCTTTAAATATCGACCATATACCTAACTGTGTTACTCAATTACATAAAAGAACAACACTCATTAACAATCAGTAATGGAAAAAGCATGCCGTAATTCACTCATGTAATGGTGGAAGTATGTCATAAAAAATAGTATACGGCAACTAGATACAAGACAGGTGAACACTTGAGTTTGTGAAATGGCAAGACTACACTTTTTACTGTTTTGATGTAGAAAGCGAAACGGAACTACAAACAAAACATTAATACTAACACTGTAACCAAAGAACTGATACGATTCACATTGTTTCTGACATAACACAATTGAAGGTTCTTTCTTGATTTCCGGAGCGTCTGGTACTGCAGAGCAACCTGTTTAAAATACAGTAAATTTCAAAAAGTTTATTCCGTTGATTTCAAATATCATCAGCATGCGCAGCAAGTCGAAAATTTACTAACAACGCCACGGCTAAAAAAGAAAAGACAATCAGACGAACAACAGGACACAAAACACAAAATAGAAAAACTAAAGACTAAACAAAACGAACCCCACCAAAAACTTGGGATGACCTTGGATGCCTCGGACGGTAAGCAGATTCTGCTCCACGTCAAGGCATCCGTCGGGTCGCTTATGTGAGGACACACTCGATAATAAGTCTAATACGGTAGTTCACCTTCGAGGAAAAGGGACGGGATTGTAGTAACGACAATTGTATATTGACAAAAATATGAACTAAATATATGTTTTTTAAAGGGGCACTAGCCGTCAAATTCATGTTCATCGATTTGACTTAAATTATCATATTTGATTTATAACCATGTACAACATTTATCCCAATTATAAAAAGTCTTAAATAAACTATTTACAGGGCATTGGCTCGATAATATGTAGCTTCATTACGTGTGTATTTTAGTCTTGACGCCATCTAAGTAACTATCGAATTGACCTCCGAATACCTATGATGGTCATATAATCGATATAAACATAAATATAGATATAAATAGAAAGTGAACTCGTGTAACTGGATTTTCTAGGTCTGTTTAATCAGTAAATAAAATGATTTACTTTTGTTTCACATTCAATGTTGACATTCTTTTCCTTTAAACAACTTAACACGCACAATGCATGCTTTATCCATCTCAAGCTAAGGGGTTACATTAAAGTTCACAGGTATACGGATTCAATGAGGTCGAGTTCTTCGTTTGCAAGTGAATAATTCATCAACAATGTTTCTTAGCTTATTTTGACAAAATTGAACCATACTGACTGATTAAAGCGAATTACTATTTCAATAGTTCATTTTCATTAATGATTAAACAAAAAAAAATCATACTTTAGATTTTTTTATATATCTCGTAGCTAGTGCCCCTTTAAGTAAAAATAATTAAAAATATATATATTCGAGTTTCGATTTTTTTTAACATTCTATCGCTTGACGTAATCATTGGAATACAAGCCATAAAAAAGTACATCTCATATATGAGGTGGAAATATACGGTGCCTGCTGAGAAAGATTTATCAATGTATTATAGGTATTTGTTCTCTGTAAATTCTTCCCCTAGCCGCCATCCCTAAAAAATAAATAAAATAAATTATTTCAGATAACTAAACAAACAAACAAATTTAGTGAACATTCGACTGGAAATTGGTTTAAAACACTGTTGACTTCCAAGATTATCTCAGCTTATGTAGACGTTATATATAAATTGTAGCTATGTTTATAATCGAGCGTATCTTTGTATGTTAAGTAAATGATTAAATATGAAACTAAGTTGGGGATATACTTTGTTAACACCTGTTTGTGTTATTTAGAGTCTTTAAGACAACAACCATTCCAAAGACAGATCTAAATTACAAGACATATAGCTTGTAGAATACAGTCTGAAACAAAATACAAAATACAAAAATTAAATAAATTTTGATTTGATTTGAATAAATCGTGCTTAGCAAACCTCACTATTTAGTGTTCCAATTGGCAAAAATAAAACAATATACATATGCTTATGATATTGTTTTGTTAATTTCTATTTTCAGGCCAGGAATTATTATTCCATTGTCCAGAGTTTCATTTGAAAACATTAGTGTATTTTTCCATGTTTGGGAGTTTGAGGTTGGCTTACAAAAGATCTATAAACGTTTTCGATGCCAACGCGTTACATTAATTTACAAACTTTACAAATTGAGTCATGTATAATCATTAGACGTCTGTTGATAATTGTCTGAAACAGTTTTTCAATTTTTGAATATCTAATTTTATTCATATTTGATGTTTAAGCATAAATTTCTTTTCTCATTTTTCTACTTGCATTTAATTTTAACATTAAAAAACGGAGTGTATATCGGGGTTTATATTGTGTTATATCCAGCCAAACTAGGAGAAGGAGAGAAGAACAGAAGAAAGATCTTCATCATGTTCATTAAGGAGTAATAACTCATATATTGAAGCGTATACAACGACGATAGTCTCGTCTAAACGAACATATTAGCTGTGCTAAGTTTTTTTTTTATGTCTGATATAGTTGTCATAAAATACGAAATGGATAAAAAAAAACGTTTGCTACAATTTATATAGGGATTCAACTTATTGTGGCCGTTTCATTCATTCTTTAGATATTATCTTACTAGTCGGATTGATATTCAACGTTTTTTCATCTACAATTGTCCTTGCAAAGGCGCAAACAATGAGATAAAATTAGCCATAAGACTTATTTGAAGATTTAACTGACCTTAGTTGTTGTTCAGAGATTACAATCATTTAACTTGTGTATGTGCATAGATCGTGATTCCCCTTCAAAAAGTTATTCAAATGGTTCTTTGACGTACAGATAGCGTGAAACTCTCACTACACCAGGATTCGGATATACGACATTTCTGTTTCGACCGGTCGAAGCCATGTATTTATACATCCGAACTGCCAAACGAACGCACTCCTTTAGCAAGAGTATATAGTCGGACAGGAGAAGTCTAGAGATATTCCTATATCCAATCAATCCTTTGGTTTTAGATAAAAGGAGACAAAAGTATACATTAATACGACAGCAACCCAACAACACAGGCAAATCAAAACATTAAGATTTTACATACAGTCTTTTGTAATAGCAAGATTCCTATACAAAATGATAAGCTCAAAACCGCTTCATGACTAAAAAATACGGAGTTGATTTAATAATATTTGCCGTCAAAGATATCCCAACATGCACAAGTGTTGAGTTGAAAAATATAACCTGCGCTTTTTTAAATTCGATCGGTGGAAATTTAAAGAGTTGAAATATAAATCAGCAGAAAAGAAACACTCCGTTTGATGTGTTTGAGCTTTTGATTTTGCCATTTGATTAGGGACTTCTGTTTTGAATTTTCCTCGGAGTTCAGTATTTTTGTGATTTTACTTTTCACTGTATAGTAACGGTAAAATAAATGATGATAACGGATGACGTCAAGCGGCAAACTAAATGCATATTCAGGACAAAAAAAAAAGTGAATATAATATGAATATTAACCCTGCTTTGTACAAGACCGGCACAATGCTCCGGATTGTTAACGTGTCAGTTCACAACTAATCCTAAAAGTAACCCTAAATGGACAAATTTTAAACTCCGAGCCGACCAGTTTGTGTTCTTATTCTTAGCGTTGAAACAGCAATTACCAATTTAAACGTCTTTTGTACCCAGTTGTGATTCGAACCAAAGACCTCCCTCTCTCGATGCAAACACTATCTCACGAGACCAACCAGAAGAACTATAGAATATCATTCCAACAACTCAAGTACAATAAACAATACAGTTTCACTGAATTTTCACATTTACTTAAGCGAGCTAAAAGTATCTAACCTAAATAGTTAAATAGTATTGGAAACTACACGTAAATATCGATGGCCGACTTCAGTGTAGATTTCATGGATCAACGCTCTATGCAAATTAAAACTCTTGTACCAATCATTTGAGGCGTCCGGCTGTGTCATTATTCAATATTTCCTCATTTGCACGTTCAACCCCACCCTCGATCTCCTAATGCAACCTACTTATTGTGTATAAAATTGATGTGTTCCCCGTCATGACATGCATGAAATATTTGCCACTGACGTAAAGCAAACAACAATCAATCAGCTTCATAAATCATTCCATTAACATAATACACGCAGACAAGATTTGGTATATTGCTATACTGTAAAAATTTACATTTAAAGCTCTCAATAATAATAAAATTAATTTTGTTATTTATAACATACCAGAACACGTTTTTTTTAAATATTTGTTTGCTATGGTTCTTGTCGACTGTTTTATTATTAATTTAAAATATAATCATGATCATATCAGGCAATTATAAAACTTGAAAAGGTAAACGTTTTTTTCAAGCTGTTTATGCTTCATTTAGACGGGAAAAGGGAATGACGGACGACGAAAACAAAAGTGTTTGTTTTCATAAAATACATTGTATTATAGGAATGATGAAAATATCTCAGCTTTACACGTTTTAATCGGACCAATCAATCCTACATAACTTGATGCAAAAGATGTTAAATGTATGCTATTTAATATAATTTTATTGATTGAAGTGTATACAAGCATAGTTTTAAATAAATTAAAAAAAAAATATTATTAATCAATTGGACTGTACAGACAGCACTAACTAGTTTGCATTTGCATATAACGTAGTGTAGGAGAAAAAACCCCCAAAAAATAAACATTTACCTGAATATTGTGAAGGACCTTATGCATCTAGGACTGTTCGATTAGAAGTTATGAAACAAGCTGTTTAAATAACTAATTGTTGAAAGAGTTAACTAACTTTTTTTCATATGGTCTGATCTTTACCAATATATTTCATGATGACTGACAGATTAAAAACATCAAATATATGTAACAAGAAGTTTTTGTACAGAACATTCCCTGGTCATTTGAAAATGACGTCTGTATAGGGTTTTTATTTGTTTATTTATAAAATAAAAAATCGTTATTTTGAAAAGTTGGATTTCAAAAATATAAATTTACCTCTTAATTTTATAACACTATCCAATGGTGGTATTTTAATGCTAGAACATTAAAATATAAATAGATAATTAATTGATGTACTGCTATTTAATCGGTCCATTTCCAATGCAATTCGCCTATTAGGTAAATTGTTATTTGTATTTATTAGTGTGAGTACTGTTTAAGTTGAATATATTAAGACTCGTCCAATTCATGGGAATAACGCTTCTGTATATGTTTTTTGCGCAATTGTCTTATGTTTTAGACTGTTTGTAAGTCAGTTAAAGTTCAATGATTAAGTTAATATTGACAATAAAAGACCTCCCCACAAAAAGGGCTGTTCAAATCTCAACATCCTTTTTTGTTCTTCGTCGGTCTTTTAAAATCAATATTAACTTATCATTGAATCTTTACTATTACTAAAAAGTACATTTTATTTGTTTGAAATTATGCTCGCTACTGTACAAATTATTTTTTTTTTAAATTACCATGCTTTTATTATTATGCAATTACTTTTACTGGCTCACGTACCTAGAACTTCAATCCATGGTGTAGTAACATGATAAATCGCCATGCCAATCCAAAATGCTTTATCCCACAGCACGTCAGTTTTCATCAACACCTTTTCGTCAAATTCTAATTCATTACTGTCACATTCATCAGAAGCAGCTGCCCAGGTTTTACTCTCTGTGTGATATGCTTGTTCATATGAAAAACCTTTTGCTTGAATAAAAGATACTTTCCCTAAATGTTATATGATGTAAAAAAAAAAAGAAACTGTTTATAACATTTTGTTATTTTTATTTTTTACGTTATTATTTACTTAGAGATATCTGTTTTAAAGTTTTTCTCTTTTTCAATACATACATTCACATTTGATATCATAGCTTAATTATAAGAGTCCGGAATGAATGATAAAATACGCCATGTAATCGTTGTCCTTATTTGACTAACAGTTAAGTCAAATTTAAGTTGCGTTTTTTTTTTAATTTGGTTTAAAAGGAGCGAAGAAATGTTTGACATTTTTGGGCTGGATTGAGTTTCGGTATGTGGTATGGTAGGCAGACAAAATCCGAGAGTGGAGATTTTCTGAAATGACATTTGTTTTTTCAATATGTCAAATTTGAACAAATTTAACGAATAACATCGGAGTCACCACGAACAAATCTAAAATCCGAGACCCCTCCTAGATAAACAAAATTTGTTTTGGTCATTGTTTATGTTCTATAGCCCAGTGAACCGTATTTTAGTGTTATATCGAAATAAAGTAGCGGTAACATTTAGAAAGTGGTAAACATATGTTTTACACAAAGTGTAATATATAGATATTAAATAGTTTAACTGATGGTGTACGATAAGAGTCATCCATAGCACACATATTTGTGAACCTATCGACGCTATCATTAAGCGTTATTACATTAAGGATGAACTTAGGTGAGGTTTAGGAATTTTTGTCAGATGTTTGGTCTCCTGGAATTTATTCGTACGATGCAGGGTAAATATTTTGCCCCATAGCACCCATTTTGTTCGATAAAAGACTTCAATAGCTCATAACAGGTCATTTACCAAAATTCAAGCAGCTTCCATATTTCTATTCTTTCGATTAGCGACCCTAATAATACCAATGCTAATCTAAGTTAAAGTCCAAGTCAGCCTTTTCCCGCAATTTTTTGAAAAAAATATACCTCAAAAAAGAGCTCCATAACCTATCAATATTTTTAGCCTATTTTGTTCCTAATTTAATTCTCTACAGTATCAATTTTAAATTTAAGATTTTTTTAAATTTCACATCCCTAAGTGTACAATATTTGCAATAATAAGTTAATTTATAATATGTAGCGTTTTAGTACACAGAGATTTACAGAAGACGAACACCACTAGATCTAATTTTTATCATTGCATACACATATAAATAATCCTAAGACATGGTTTTGGACAGTTTTTTTCAAATATCTGTAATCAAGGTGATGTAGCAAAACAGAAATACATTAACATATTCAGGGGTAAACATAACAATTATAGGAAAAGCAATTAACTTTCAATTCATAATTGCCACAAACGATGATGTGATGTTATTAATTTTTAGATGGTGACGTTCCCTTGTCACCATCTTATGGTGTTTATACATTTCAACTCCTTCGATTGGCTCGTGTATGTAACAACGTATTATATTTTAACGAAATAAATATATGTATTACTGAAAAATTATTACACATTATTTTTCGATATCACAAACTAGTCAAACCATTTACTAAATTTTATCATCGGTACAGGGACATCATTCGTAAATATAAAACAACATGCAGACATCTTATACGTTCAGGTACTTCACATCCAACCTTTTTGGTAATACTCTTTACAAAGCACAAGCATGTCGGCATTCACCTCAAAAGCTAACAAAACCTTTGAACAGACTTATTAAGAAGGGATATAGTAACGATACTGTTGTCAGGTCATTAAAGATGTCATATTTTGGCTTTAATATTGATTTACTTATAGGGTCTCTGAATCGGAAATAAACACATTTATTTGAAAACCAGTTGTTGGCATCATACGGGTTATGTTCTTCTCATATATTTTATGACGATATGATATTAAACCCCTAACGGGAGGGATGGTGCTTGATAGTCATATAATGAAGACATAATCTATCAATCAGTTTAATCTAGGTCTGGAGCTGGCATGTCAGTAACTGTCAGTAGTCTTTTGTTTATTTATGTATCTTTGTCATTTTGTTTAGTTTCTTTTGTTACCTATTCTTACATCGGGCTCGGACTTCTTTTAAACTGAGTTTTACTTTGCGTATTGTTTGTTTTTCCTACATTGGCTAGATGTATAGGGGGAGGGTTGAGATCTCACAAAAAATAAAACCCTAACGCTTTTTTGCGCCTGTCCTAAGTGAAGAGCCTCTTGCCTTTGTTAGTCTTGTATGATTTTGAATTTTAGTTCATATATATATTTCGAAGTTAAGTGTGGCGTCCCTTATCATTGAACAAGTACACATTTTTGTGAGGGGCCAGCTGAAGCACGCCTCCGTTGCGGGATTTTTCTCGTTGTGTTGACCACACATTGGTGTCCTTCGGCTGTTTTCTGCTCTTTGGTCTGATTGTTGTCTCTTTTACACATTCCCCATTTTCATTCTCAATTTCATTATCAAAATACACCGAATACGTAAAGAAATTATTATATTCTTTATGAATTTCATAAATATAACGAATAATTATCAATTCTTCAGTTATTCATAATAGGCAGAAATATTTCCGTATAATCTGTCATTGATTTTGAAAAAACACCTTGCATTTGTATTATTCTTCTAATTATTTGAATGAATTTCTTTTTACATTATCCTTTATCCTTATCCATAAAAACATGGACATGTATAGACCCATGTCATAACGATAATACATGTTCATGTACTTATCAGTTAGTTTTTGGAAACAAGGAAAATAAAACCTGGATTGTTGTCTCTTTGACACATTCCCATAAAGTCAATTACCCGCCTAAATAGTTTCACTCACGAGAGCCACACTTTGAAACATATTTTAAACATATACGTAAAAGATTGTTTAAGATTAGTTTACATATATCCTTAGCAGCATAAATAAAGATAGCACATTATATTTGATACAATGACAATTTGGTACCTTACCATATTAAATTGATAGTAAAAAATAAATTTTAACTTACCATTCGCACACTTTTTATCTATAACAAAAGCCACTATGATAATCCACATTGTTTCGTTCATTCTAAATCCCCTGTATATCGTCCAGACACAAAACAAGGAAGTACATCTTAGATAAAATCAAAGTCAAACAAGTCAAAGGGATTGTTTTTGATTTCGTGTTTACAAAGGATTACGCACAAGGAAGTTGAATAACTTTACAGTGGTTTCTCAGGTATGTTTCATATTTTGTTAACAAAACTACTACTTGTAAAATTGCAATTTATAATTTTTGATAGAAGTTAGCTATTTAATCATTTCAATCTGTCAATTATTGTATACCGTATAATCTTTCGATCATTCGTCTACTTCACAAAATCTTGCTGGGCAACTTGAAGCATATATCATCTATATGAGTGTATTCTATAGCAGTATGCTTTATACACCTGATTATACACATGTAGGAACCCTTGTTTCAAGTAAGGAGCAACCATCGTTCATGTAGATCAGAAATGCAAAACGCCTCTTACACTGTGTCTAAACTACCCCGGCAAAAAATGTTCGGACTGGATGGTATCTAATATCCGGCACGGTGACGAAACACCAATAGACAGAGAAAAGGTAGTTTTCTGTTTGTTTATTTGTTATTTTTATGATATCGAAGAATATATATATATACATATATAACTATTTTCTATTGTTAGATGTATATAGATTCTACCACTGCATCGAGTGTGATACGATATTTATCCACTATAGACAGTTAAATTTTCAAATTTAAAACGCGAGGCTCGCCGAGCGTTTTAAATATTTAAAATTTAACTGTCGAGAGTGGATAAATATCGTATTACACGAGATTTGGTGGTGGAATCTGTTTCTCTAATGATTTTCAGACAATATGCAGGCAAACTTATTCCTTCTTTTTGAATGATCTGCAAAAAGATGTGTTCTTTCTATGTGACGTCATCAGGCATGGTCGCCTTTTTTCATGCCGTCACAATAGGAAATTCAGAGGAAAGCAAGAAAATTCGACGTCATAATCGGATTTCAACCAATGAAGAACTGAGATCAAACGAACCACACGTTGATTAAATTTTTTTTATACAATGGGTGCAGAAAGGGATAAATTGACGAAGAATTAGAGAACATATTTTCTACAACCGTTCTAGATTAACTGAGAAAGAAGTAAACATGCACGTCAAAATGACGAATTCAGTGAACCTTGCCTCGAATTTGTTTAATTTCCCCTTAAAATGTTCACATGGTACTGAAAGAAAGGTACGGAAAGAAAGGTACGGAAAGAAAGATAACATGAAGATTGCTGCAAAACTAGTCACTTTGAGCACCTCAATCCCTTTAATTCTGCGTATGGAACGAAAGAAATAGGTCATGGCAAAATAGAAGCACCCGGTTTTGTCAGTGTTGTTTACTACACAATGACCCGGTTTTGTCTATGTATAGAACCCGGTTTTGTTTATTTTATGAAAAGCAATGTTAACACTGGTACCCTGAAACAAAAAATAAATTTACAACTGGCTGATCATGTGGGTTTTCAAACCAGGTACCTCAATAAAGCATGTAGCCAATTTTAATTAAATTGTTAAAGAGAAGATTTTTGTAAGATAATTGCCAAAAACGCAAAGCAATGGTAAACATCGTAATTAAAGGTCAACAATTCTTACAAGGATATCGACCAAGTCGACTTATTCGTATATATTGTCTTGCTGATCATTTTTGCTATATATATTTTATATATTTCAAGATAATAGACAGAAATGGAAAAAAGGAGAAATTTGTCATTCATGACTTACATGTCCCCGTCTTTCCACCAACAATACGGTAAGGTCTACGTTTAATGGTCGCACATTTTCTTTAAATTTATACTGATATAACTTGAAAAACAAACAGTATTATTTATTTACTCACATGAAACAAACCGGGGTGCGGTATTCAGTACGTAGGTGAAACTGGACGATATTTATCTAAACGCACGCAAGAACACCTGTATCGTTTTAAAAAACCCAATAAATACAAAAGTATCATTTATAAACATCTTAAAAAGCACAATCATCCTATTAAATATTTAACAGTTCAACCTTTAAAAGTAGTAAATAAGCAGCCTGGTGAATCTCATTCAAAGTTTGTACGATCACTGAAAATATTTGAATTAAATTGGATTAAAAAATTACGGACAGTCTACCCTCTCGGTCTTAATGATAATATCATGGGAATTGGTAATATATCAAGAACCGATTCTGTTAACATTTTGGATATAGTTTCTAAAACTGTTCGTAAAAACCGTTCTCATGGGCGTAGAAAAAATCGCAATCAAAGAAACTTTCGGACCAACCATACAAATATTTCGGACCTAATTTCTATTTCAAAAAACAACGGCAGACATTATCTATTAACCAAGCTCTGTTCTTTACCTATAAATAAATTAAATAAAATTTTAGAGGATTGCAACACAATTTCATATTGCAGTCCTAAGTATGAAATGGTTCAAATTATAATGGCATATTGTTATTCTAAACTGTTTCCCAAAATTGATCGCCCTGAAGATCATAAAAAACATTTTATTAAAATAAAGTATGTCAATAAAGGTTTTGATGTTGTAAATATTGCCGGTATTTTTAACGACCATTCTGTTAAAGAACAAATTCTGGATATTTTGATAATACTGAACTCCCTCTTATTTGTTATATTTACAAGAAATCTACCCGAGAATTTGTGTTTAATTATAGCCATGTCTGAAAAGATGTAAATATCAGTGAAAATACACCTACGTCATGTAATTGTAGTAATTTCGAATAGACTTATGGCCCCATTTCCCATGTTATAACAGGAGACCTTAACATCGTTCGCGACCGAGAGTTAAAATCATTCCTCAGTAAAGGACCTAAATATCGTCCCCCGTCAATTATTAATTGGAATGAGTGTCGTAATATCATCCACGACTCACTTCGTGCTTACTGTTTGAAATGGATAAAACGGGAAAAAGCTGACAAAAAATCTTTGGACTCTTTTTTAATTCAGTAATGAAGATAGTTGATATACGTATACAACATTTTAAAGAACATTTTACTCTTAACAACAACCATAAAAATCCTATTTCTCGTATTAAACATAAACTAAATGAACTAGCCAAGAAATTTGTTTTTGTCCCGGCTGATAAAGCTGCTAATAATATCATTATAGTTTGACGTAAATTTTACATTGAGGTTCTGCAAAAGGAAATCACGAATTCACCAACATTCCAACTGACGTCATTTTCAGAAAACGATATCTGTAACAAACATAAACTATTAGCTACTTCTTTACAAGCAGAACCAAATACAATGAAAGCCCCAACTATGTACTGGCTTCCGAAGCTATACAAATCACCTTACAAATTTAGATTTATTTCGTCTTCAAGTCATTGTTCCACTACTAAATTGTCTATTCTACTTACTAGTACACTTGGTACAATCAAAAACCTGATAATAAATTGTTCAAATAAGGCCTTTGAAAATAGTGGAATTAACTTCTTTTGGAGTGTCAAAAACTCGTTGGAAGTACTTGATAAATTGCATGCATATATTGGTGATTTTGATTCTGTTCAAAGTTTTGATTTTTCTACGCTATATACCACTTTGCCTCATATTCTCATTAAGAAAAAAATCACACACCTAATTAAATGGGCAGTTTAAAAGTCGGAATGCAAATACATATGTTCAAACTCTTTTAGGTCATTTTTTAGTAGCAACGAACAAAAGAACTATGTCAATTGGACATGCTTTGATACTATATCTGCCCTTGAATGTTTACTTGATAACATTTTTGTTCGCTTTGGAGATTCCGTATATCGTCAAGTTATCGGAATTCCAATGCGGACTAACTGTGCACCACTTATTGCGGACCTGTTTTTGTATTGTTATGAGTTACAATTTATGACTAAAATCAGCAAAGACCCATCAAAACAACATCTGATACAAACATTTAACAATACATTTAGATATTTGGATGATATATTAGCTCTCAATAATGACGACTTCAGTATGTATACTAAAGAAATTTATCCTGTTGAACTTACTTTAAATAAAGCTAATACTAACAATGACCACTGTCCTTTCCTCGATCTTGATATCTATATCATAAACGGGAAGCTTAATACAAAAATTTGTGATAAAAGAGATGATTTTTCATTTCCTATCGTTGATTATTCATTTTTAGATGGTGACGTTCCCTTGTCACCATCTTATGGTGTTTATATATCTCAACTTGTACGATTCGCTCGTGTATGTAACAACGTATTAGATTTTAGCGAGAGAAATTTATGTATTACTGAAAAATTATTACACCAGGGTTTTCGATATCATAAACTAGTCAAAACATTTACTAAATTTTATCATCGGTATAAGGACATCGTTCGTAAATATAACTCAACATGCAGATTTCTTATATGTTCGGGTATTTCACATCCAATCTTTTATGGTAATATTCTTAACAAAGCACAAAAATGTCAGTATTCACCTCAAAAGCTAACAAAACCTTTAAACAGACTTATTAAGAAGGGATATAGTTACGATACTGTTGTCAGGTCATTAAAGATGGCATATTTTGGCTTTAATATTGATTCACTTATAGGGTCTTTGCATCGGAATTAAACATATTTATTCTAAAACCAGTTGTTGGCATGACAAAGGTTATGTTCTTCTCATATATTTTATGATGGTATAATACTAAACCCCTAACAGGAGGGATTGTGCCTGATATTCATATGTAGAAGACATAATCTTTCAATCAGTTTAATTGAGGTCTGGAGCTGGCATGTCAGTAACTGCTAGTAGTCTGTTGTTATTTATGTATTATTGTCATTTTGTTTATTTTCTTTTGTTTCCTATTCTGACATCGGACTCGGACTTCTCTTGAACTGAGTTTTACTGTGCGTACTGTTGTACGTTTGTTTATTCTACATTGGCTAGAGGTTTAGGGGGAGGGTTGAGATCTCAAAAAACATGTTTAACCTCAACATAATGAACATATCTGCCCCTGTTAAATTTTCTTTATCTATAGCTGTTTTCAAATAATAGACAAAACTTGCATCCCCCTATGTTCTATTTTAAGCCATGTCGGCCCTCTTTGTTGACAAGCGGGGTCATCAAAATCTTTTTAAACTAGAGACCCCA